CGTCCTCTAGTCCTCACTCTGCACACATGGAGCAGGCTCGCTTCTCACTGCAGAACAGCACTTTCTGAGCAGAGATTGTACAAGGCTAGTTTTTCCTTCATTCTCTTAACCCTCTGTGTTTCTGGCTCACACTGAGTGAAGAGAGATAATCAAATATGTAACAAAGATAAATACAATGCAATGTCAATACAGGATAATCATCGATACAACTAGAACTATATATGTGGATTTAAAGATGTATATGCTCTTGGTAAAAGCCTGCAGAATTGGGAGTAGGCTGGGAAGATATCTGAGTCAGTACAGTGCTTATCTTGCAAGTGGGAGTTTGATTCTTAGAATTCATATTTAAAAAAGCCAGATTTGGTGATGTGTGCTTGTTAGCCCAGTGCTGGGGAGTGGAGGCAGGGGGATCCTTGAGTCTGTCAAGTCAGCCAGCCTAGTCTAGGAGTTCCAGACCAGTAAGAGACATGTTTCAAAAAAAGGGGTGGATGATGGGTGAAGAAAGGCGCCTGGCTTCCGCACACACACACAGTCAGCAAAGTGGGGAAAATTCATCTTGTGATTAATAAGAATACAGTATTTATCAAAAACGATCCTGTTCCTCCAAAGAATAAAACAGAAACAAATCCCTAATTTTTACATATGATCTTATAACATGATAATTTCTACATATGAGCCTTTTGAGGAAACTGCACATGAAATTATCTCATCTTTTCTGGACAGGAACTAGATAGGTGTGATGTGAGGGGTGCTGACTCTCAAGAGTTTAGAGAGGTTACTGGGTTTAAGACCCAGGGTCCAAGATAGAGTAGGAACTGAACCTGGGTTCCGAGTCTCCCAAGCCAGAAGGTGTTGGAATGGAGGCACATGTTTGGAGAGAAGACAGTGTTCCAGCACAGGAGTCCAGGCTGAGCACTGACAAGAGCCAAAGCAACAAGCAAAGTGTATACGAAGGCTCTGGGATATGCTGACTGGGAAGACTTTCCAAGGCCTCTTGTTATGGATTGGCAGCTCTTGAAGCTGAGGCCAAGGAGAAAAGCTATATGGCCATACTGTGCAAAAGACTGTCTTCCCTTAACCTTGCAGTAGAGGTTAAGCTGTATTTGGACTTTCTTGTTAGAAATCTACTCTGATCAGGGCGATGGGAATTTTCACAAACTTTCCTTCCACTTCTCTAGACTGTGTGTTCAGAAGTCTAGAGCCACTCACAGAGCATTCTTGTCTTAGGTTCAGGGTTTCCCTAGCAGGCTGCCAGGGCACGGGCTGGAGAGTGAGTTGGCAGGAGTCTCACAGAGCATGGAGCTGTTGAAGTCAGAGTGACTTCACAGGGAGCAAGGATAATGCAATTGGATCCCTTTGAACCTGGATGCTGCCTGACCACTTCTTCCTCCTTTCCTCCTCGCCCAGTTTCTGTAAAATAGCTGTTCCTACTGAGTCACACAAATGCAATGGCAACTAATAAAAATAAAATGGCATCAGGCTTAAGTCTATATAAAAAGTTATTTAGACAATTATTTCTCATTGATGATTTTGTTCATAACCAGAAAGTGCTGCTCAGATGTAAGACTTCAAATCTTGGTCTCCAATACCGTAGTGCCCACCTGTAGCTAAGGGAGACAACCAGCTTTTGTTCTAAAATGATGGATAAATTTGTTTTCTCCCCCTATCTAGAAGCCTTTGAGACGGAACTGACACTGATTCTAATCACTCCAACAGTTATCAAAATACCTGAAAGCAAATCCTGAATCCATCATTCTAGAGTCCAACCTTGGAAGACAAAAGAAAAATGAGGAGGAACCCAACAGAGGGATACTTTTGGAAGCCCTTGTCAAGAAATTCCAACGGACTATCATATGAACATGTGAAAATTGCCCTGTTCTGCCTTTTTTCTAGTTCCCTGTCTAGAACTTGTAATGCTAATTACTCTTGCCTTTACTTCTCCTTCACAGCTCCTAGTCATGATTCAAGGACATTATTTTCCTCCTCAAGGTAAGAGTTATGCAATTTGGGAGTTTTTTAGATAGACCCACTGAAGGGGTACGCTAATTGCCTCACCCCGCATCCCTGTTCAGTATGGAAGAAGCCAGAGCAGTCTGCGTCCCTATTCCCCAGTTTCTTGGCTAAAAGTCAAAACGTCCTTAGCAACATACTCTGTTCCAAAGGCCAAAAATGTTGAAAGTATTTGGGAGCTTGTATCCAATTCTTAAAAGATTTTAGGGTTAACTCTTCAGAGGAGGGAATGTTACAGTAACCAAAAGCCCCATAAAAATAAATAAATAAAAAAATAAATCAAAGAAGAAGAAAGAATACATGAAGTTATCAGAAAAAAGTGATGGGGAGATATGGGAGGAGTTGGAGGGGAGAGAGTAGGCATGGATTTGATCAAAACACCTTATATATGCATGCATGAAATTCTCAATAAATTATTTATTAGAAAATAAAATGGCATAGTCCAGGCACAAAGAAAATATAAGGAAAATATGAAAAGGGGGCTGAATGGACCAAAAGATGAATTACACACACCAGAAAAGAATTTTATAGAGCAGAAAAAGAACCAGAGAATTACAAAGAGCTTAATGAAGCATGGTTCCTATGAAGGAAGACCAGTCATCAGAAATGCAAGAAAATGAACAGGAAATCACTGGAGTGGAGACGTGGTCACAAATACACGAGTGGGGCCTAGAGAGTTGGCTCAGCGGTTAAGAACACTGGCTGTTCTCACAGAGACCCGGGTTCGAATCCCAGTACCCATATGGGAGCTAACAACTGTCTGTAACTCCAGTTCCAGGGGATCTGACAGCTTCTTCTGTTCTCCGTGCATTGCATGACAGGGTTGCACTTACATACTTGCAGGCAATATATGCACACACATAAAATAATAAATAAAAAATAAACGAATTAAAAAAGAAATACACAAGTAGATTTTAATTTACAGATACAGGGACCAGATAAAAGGTCAGGATATAGAAGCCCTAAGTGTCGTGATCAGTAAGGTAGATATGAGTAATATGTATTAAACTCTGTGACACAGAACATATTTCCTGGCCCCTAAAGACTACAGCTCTTGGGATCCTTGCTGTCTGCTCTTCTCTCTGGTCATCTACTCGTACCGTGTCTCCACTTTGCATGCCGATACCTCCAACTGAGCTTCTCACTTGGAATCCTGCCTTATTCATTGCTGACTGGACATTTGGATGTATAAGTATCTTTAGATAACCACATCAAAAATGGAAACTTCTGGGGCCGGAGAGATGGCTTAGTAGTTAAGAGCACTGACTGCTCTTGCAGAGGACCTGGATTCAATTCCCAGCACCCACATGGCGGCTACAAACCGTCCTTAACTCCAGTTCCAGGGGGAATCCGAAGCTCTTGTCTCACCTCTTCAGCATTGCATGACACGGGTGCACTCACTTACATGCAGGCAATACACTTATACACATAAAATAAAAATAATAAATAAAGTATTAAAAAATGAAACTTCTGATACCACACGTCTGCCATCCAGCAACTCTCATGGTCATGCCCAGGCTAGTAAGTGGGAGCTTTTTCTAGTGAGGGTCATGCCTCATACCCAGTCCATCAATAAGTCAGGCCAGCTCAATCTTCAGAAAAATGTCCAGAATCAAAATGCTTCTCACCACGTCTGCTAGGGTTACCCTGTCTACCAAGCTACTCCCACTGCCTGTTCCTCACTGGCCTCTCCCCCTGTGCCTTGGGCCCCTTACATTCTCTCCTCTTATAGCAACCCAGGTGAGGCTATGCAATTCTTGGGCTTATACCTCTAGGTGGCCTTCCTCTGGAAATCAAATCTAAGGGTGATCTTCAAATGTCACTTCTAAACGGTATCTCCTGGGATTCTCTTTCTTAGCACGTCTGTTCTAACCACTGAATCCTGAACTCCTAAATCATGGCAGGAGCAATGCCCCTGTCTCAGGGCCTTGGCACATGCTCCTTCTAGTTGCCCACATGGCACATGACTTTCCTTCCTTTTTGCTCTTTCCTTAAACCCAGAAGCATTTAAAAAATGAACACAGTATTAGGGTGTGCTGATATTCAAGAGCTGTAGACGATGAAGATTCAGGACAGAGACTGAGGATAACTTTTGGCATTAGTTCTTCATACTTTACCAAGTTCTTCAATATACTGTGTGCGCATGTGTTTTCATTATGAAAACAACACTGTGCATGGATGCTATCATCTGTGTTTTATAAGAGGACATAAAAGTTCACATAAGCTGCCTTATCCAGAGTCACATAGCTAGAAACTTCTAGAACCAGGAGGCACAGACATTACTCTAGTCTTGCGGCTCCAGAGTAAGTGTTCTTCCTTCTATGCATTCAAGTTCAGTTTGTAATTACAAGAACAGTGGAGTGGAAGGGCAGCTAATGACAGCTGAGTGTTTATAGAAAAGGTGTTTCAGGCACCTCTATATGCTTCATTACATTATGTTTGTAGAATCCTGGGAGGCAAGACCTGTTATTTGCAGTTTGCAGGGATGAAGACTGAGTCAGTACCAGGGTAGATAGTTGGCTAAGATGTGCCAGTGGGTGTAGAGCCAGGGTGCACACCTAAATACCCAAGTTTTGCAATGGGGTCCTTACCCCCTAGGCCAAATCTCTGCATGGTCTGAGAACATTTTTTTCCCTCTCTGCTTTTGCTAGCTATGTTAGACATACTGTGGAGCTGGATAGAAGTAAATTCTCTAGTTGGGTAATTAGAGACCAACTGTACTCAAAAGATTGTTTTTGAAGGCATATGTTGTTTAAAAAATACCACTTTAAAATTGAGGTTAAGTGTGAAGATTTTCAACATAATCGGTAATCATCTGAGGCTGAGCCAGTTCAGCTGAGGTTTGTGACTCCTGAAGTAGATGACAGCCATCTTTTCTAAGTAGATGTTTTATCTGACTGCAGATTAACTTCCCTTTTTTTTTAGCAGCAGCTTGTCTGAACTTTAGGGAGGTTCTGGCAGGCAGAGGAAAGAGAGCTTGCCTCACTCACCTGGGGTGATTGTAGGCAATCTGCTTGAATTCCTCGTTCCAGTTGGGTCTCCCATAGAAGGTCTTCTGCTTTAAGCCTGTGATCACATCTGTGCTTTCATCCCAGTGTAAAGCTATGTGAATAGCCTAAAATAAAAATTGTAGTATCAGATAACGTTTAGAAAAAAAACATAGGAAGGAAGCATCTGTAAATAAAGGATGAACTCACTATCTTCATTTGGAGATTTAATACAAAATATTTTTTACAGGCCTCAAAATGCTTATCACCATTAGCAGTTATCTCCAATGTTGTGCTTTAGGATAAGGACCATGTCTCATCTATCTCTGTATTTGGCATTGTAGGGACAAAAATGTTCCTTATACATAGTAGACGTGTAAAGACATAGCCTCAAAAGAAGTTTTTTTTTTTTTTTTTTTTTTTTTAAAAATAAAAGACAGTAACGTTCCTTTAAGTAGAGATGAAAAAAGTTCACTGGATGCTGTGTGAAAAAAATTTTTTTTTTTTGAAAGGATCAGAGTAATAGAGAAAATGTAGCTAAGGGAAAACATTAAACATTTTCTTACTCTTTCTGCCAAACTTCTCAAAAAATTAATCTTCCCCTGAAGTCATCATTCATTTAACATTAAATCCAGGGGATTTGAGGAGGGCACTGCCAGCTTAAAGTGTCATAAGGAGCTGGGTCTTACAATTGGGTCTGCCTACTGAGTTCACATGGTTTAATGGACAGTTATTCCCAGATATCAGGACCACCCACTCCATGAAATACCTAAGTCTGTGGAGGCTCAAGAGTATTTGTGTAGACCCTACCCACATTCTCTCATAGACTTTAAATCATCTAGGATTGTCTATAAAATCCTAGTGCTATATAAATACTATGTAAAGAGTTGCTGTATTGTATTATTTAGGGGATAATAAAAAGAAATAAGAAGACCATACTACTTAGTACAGATGTATTGTCTTTCAAATATTTTCAGTCCTCAGGTGGTTGATATACAAATGTGGAACTAGTGAATGTAGAGAGTCAACTATACACTGTTAGGTTTCAAGAGATAGAAGGATGCGCGCAGTGAGGGTGGTGGGTGGAATGTTGGGGCGAGCGAACAGCCAGGGGCCTGGTTAGAGCTCTGTGAATAACTTTTGGCCTTCAATTCCAGTGAATTCACACAGTCACTGTGTAATTAGTGGCCAGTAGATAAAAGCCTGGGGCAGATCCATCCTTACGGTGATGTACGAAGCTGCCGGCCTTAGCTTTAGCCCCTGCTGAATTCTGGAAGCTATCTTGTTCTTTTCTCCTCAGGTCTGTGTGCTCTGTACTACCCCTGAGATCCATCACTAGCTCTTGAGCTCACATATTAATTTTCCTCCACTCTCTCTTACAGTTGTGACAGTTTGATAATAGCCCTGCTGGGCACAACTCATGCCCCAGATTCTTGCTTTGAGCATGACTTGTCTGAATAGTGTTCTTCCTTGTCTAAGAAAGCAGCTAAGGCCAGAGGGGTTCAGGTCACAGTCATGTTTGTTGTTTCAACAGACCAGCAGGCAAGGGTAGGTTGGGCTCCAGAATGCCAGGCCTCAGTAAACTGCTGTTCAGAAAGTCTGACCTCAAGTAACACTGCTGTTACAAAAAAGTTTGGGAACAGAATTCTATGCAGATTGAGGGTGGGGAAAATGAAGTGGGTCTGGAGTGACATGTCAGAGGGGAACAGCTGTGAGCCAAGACATGGAAGCAAGCGCGAAGTACCCGGCAGGATACTTGATCATCCTGCAGCTCTAGGGTCACAGGAAAGCAGCGAGGCTCACCTAGAGCCAGGTCACGTTGGGAAGGCCACAAAATACTTCCTAAGAAGTTTTGACATTATTTGATGGGGAAAAAAGGGGCATCCCTTAATTATGTCTGTGGGACCGCCCAATCACTGGTGTTCAAACATTTGGAATTATATTTGTTCCACACTTCTCAGCCCACTGTTCAATTAATCTCCAAACTCTTCTGATATGCCCTTCGTAATACCTCTTCCATCTGTCCCTTCTGTTCTTGTCATTTTGCCACATTGAGGTTGTTGGATTCAGTTTAACAATTGGCTATTTCTAAAACAGCCTCTCAAAGCTTGAGTTACTGACAGAATGTACCAATTATTTTTTTTTCCTTAAATGTTGAGATTAGTGATTTCCTGCCTGAAATCTGGACGTGTAAAGAATTTCCAACATGTCATGGGAAAAACTTAAAAAGGTGTCTATTTTAATTTACTTGCATTTAGGAAAAAAAAATCTATTTTATATCCTACTCTTGAAAGGGACAGAGATAGGGCAGAACAGGGCCGTGTTGTCACAAAATTGACTTGAGAGTTCTGTTTGGAGAACCTGAGTCTCATAACTCCCAAGTGACAGGGAATGGCTAAATGGACACTTGGGATCAATTTGCCTCAGAGGTAGAAAACCAAGCAAGGGGCTGGGAAGCAAAAGCCAAAAGCCATGTCTATACTTCAGTAAATGAATCATCAGTCAAAAATCCCACTTGGATAAGGAAAATGGTTATTTGGAAAACATAATTAACACTATATAATTCATTAAGACTTATCAAACCTAGTTCTAAGAAACCTAAAATTCAAATTATCCCAGAGGATAAGAAACCTAAAAGTTCAAATTATCCCAGAGGATTAAATATTTAAGGAGGTCTTCAAATAAAACCATAAAAATTCATAAAGTTTCTGAATTTCAAGCAGTGTTTTGTTCATTTGCAGAAGTACAGATCCAAATTATAATGATAGTCTGTAAGTGTGTGTGTGTGTGTGTGTGTGTGTGTGTGTGTGTGTGTGTATGTGTGTCCGTCCCTATCCACAGTACGCATGATCAATCAGTTATATATTTGGTGATTAGTATAAAGCTCCTTGGCTCAAAAATACTTTCCTTAAAGTATTTTTTATCAATGACAGCATCCACAGAAGCACTGATTAAAATACACATTTCATAACCTAATAATCACTTCTTTGTAAACCCCAGTGCTGGAATCTGATGCAATAACCATCATTTACACATTGACTATGATAGTTTTATCAGTTCTGAAATATTACCTCCAATGTGTTGATACACATTATTTTTGCCAAACTCAATCTATATTTCATTACTACAGTGCCCTGAAGACTACCTGCCCAAGCAGAAGATCATCTTGACCTTAGGTAAATAAACATATGTGTACACAATTTCCGAGACCAGCTTAGGAGAAAGAAATCTCTAGACAAATCATGTATCCTTAGTTATTTTCTGGCTCACATACTTTTCAATATGAAAGGCTGGATATAAACAACAGGTAATCTTTTCTGTTTTACTCTGTGCATCTCAGAGCATAAACTCAGAACCAATTAGGAACTCAGCTGATGATACGGTCAATTAATGATCATCACTGATGTCACTCTTAAAACGACAAACTCAAATGTTTTTAGGATTTCTAGTATCTAGGTTTTCTTTCTTATCCAAACTGCTTGTCTTCTTCTTCTATTCTTTGGTAAGATGGCTATTTACATCCTAAATAGTTGTTTCTGGTTTAGTTTTACTTCATTCTTCTTTCCCTTTTAAAAACATATGAATATCTCTTTCATGTTACCAGGCAAGCATGCAAACTCATTATCAAAATGGGCTTCTCCTAAGAAGTAAGGCAGTCTTGGAGCTCTGGGTCTTACTGATACCTGATTTTCATCCCAGCCAGTGAGAAATATATGATAACTCAGCAAGTGAGCTTTCCCTTGCTCACTCATCTGTGTTTCCAGTGACAGTAAAAGATCTGCAAACCACTCAAATGCCGTGGCATCCCGGCAAATCCAGTAGAAATACACCTGTCAGGAGAGAAGGCAGGAGAGCTGATCTATTCCTCTTCTCATAATGTGCTGATAATCACAGACTACTTTATCTCCATTAAATTATTTGAACCCAAATAGGCACTTCTGCAAAATCACATGCTTTTCTCTGCCAGTGAACAAACCACCACACTGATTTCTTTTGAAAAAAAAAATTCACATTGTGCTTGAAAAGGCCCAGAGTGAATTCAATGAGTCGGGGTTCCCGTGGGCTGTGCCAGCCTCACTGGATGAGGATCAACTCTCCACACTTCTGACTGTGCCTCTTCTGAACAAGATTAATAATCATAACTCGCTGTGCCTTTCACCGCTCCCCAAAGGGGATAAGCTGCTAGACCAGCCCCCTTCATCTTTACTTATGACCTAAGCTCGGGATTTCAGTTCTCTTCTCCAGAGACCTCCAAAGGCTTGGGCACTAATCCACTTCACCAGCCACGGCCTCTGGAGAATGGAGATTATGGTAATTGCAGAATGAAGTCTCACAGGTCAGAAATTTCCTCTCAGTGAGACCTTTCAGTGTCCAAGAAAGCTTGTGGGTGGGGGCTGTGCCTGTGTGTCAACTGCTCAAGTGAAATTATGTGTGGGGAAGTTTTCTTTTTTAAAAAAATATCTCTGTGTTGAGCAAATGGCAGGTGAGAAGCCGCAGTTTGCGTTTGTTAAAAGAAAGGCTTAGCTCTTGTGATTTGAGTTTCAGACAATTGCATCTAGAAGAAACCACAGGAGATAAATCTGTTAATTCTCCAGATTTTCTCCCTTATACTGCTGTCCCCTGCTGCCTACTCTTTCCTGCACCTTCTCCCCAAAGAGCTATCTTTAGGGTTCTACAGTATCTGTGGGATCCAGTGGCCAGTCTCTCTCTGTCTCTCTCTGTCTCTGTCTCTGCCTCTCTTTTCAAATATCTGTTGGATCCAGTGGCCTCTCTCTCTCTCTCTCTCTCTCTCTCTCTCTCTCTCTCCTCCCAGTATCATGGGATCCAGTCTCTCTATTGCTCTCTCTCTGTCTCTGTCTCTCTCCCCACCCCCCAGTATCTGTGGGAAACCAGTGAGCAGTCTCTCTCTCTCTCTCTCTCTCTCTCTCTCTCTCTCTCTCTCTCT